TATCTATATTCTTATCTCATTCCAATTCTAGTCTATGTAGTGTTTGGAGTGCTTTATTTATGTGGCCAAAGGTGCTTAAAGCACATTTTGGCAATTAAAGAAAAAAAGGGATCAAATTGGAGAGCTTAGGCCAAGAGCTTCCTTCATAATTATTTTGGACAACTATATATCTTGTCAAAATAATAAATTACAACCAATGTCACTACCTTATTTAATGATAAAAACATTAAAATTTTACATTGGTAAATTTTATTTGAAATTATTTTTAAGTTGGCTCGAATTCATTTGACTGCTAATTTTAGAATTGAAATAATTTTATATCAAGAGAGTAATTAATGTTTGGTCATTTTACTAAAAATTTACTTTAGAATTGCTAATATTTACTAAATATTTGATAGTTGCATAGAGTTTGATAGTTGGTAAACAAATTCAAATATCCAAACATTTAAAGTTAAAGAACTATGAGTTAGGACTAAAACCCAGATGGACTTAAAGCACAGGAAGGAGGGGGGGAAGCCAATTCATGTGACCTCTATCTCCACTGTTCTATTTCTAGCTTAATTTTTCTTCATTTCTAAATTATTGCCCGGGCAAGTTAGTTTTCTTGCAACTTGTCCTGCATCAATTAGTTTTCACTGACAAAATTAGCATTCTGACATAGTCAACAAGATAATTGATAGAATGTTATCTTATATCTGTACTCTATCCTTGCCTCCATTCTGGTGTTTGTCTGTTTTTCCTCATCTTTTCATCAGAAATCTCTGTAGATAAGGGCTTTAGGAATCTTACGGGTGCCTTGTTGATTTGTATCCTTTACTGAAATATCTTTGCAGGCATCTTCATTCTAATTGGTTTTGGCAGGTCAAGCAAATGCTGATTGCACTTCTTTGTGAATCTGAAATGAAGTTGGCTGATGATACTATTGAGATAATACTTGACAAGGTTAGTCTTCTGATAGTCTAATTACCTATTTAGTTTGAGAAAAACTCAAGCCAAGAGGAAATGCACATTCGGGACATGTTGTCTAATAACTCCACTCCTGATTTCTGGATTCCAAATTGAACATTCTTTTTAAGTTTCTAACCAAAAACCAGGGAAAATAGTTGAGAGCTTGTGTTTGGCAGTAGAAATTTTATATGGGAAAGCCTACAGAGCGCAAGACGTAACTACAATCATATACTTGGTAGATTCTAATGAAATTGTGTTGAAATTGTGTTGAAATTTCTAGCCAAACAAACTAGGTGAAGAAGTGAACCTTGCAATTCAAACTTGGATGCAAACGTTAGTGGAGTTCATAGGTTTATACAAGTTGCAATTTCTACTGAGTTAGATAGAAGCTAAGGTACTATCTTGCATAATTTGATAGTCAAAGGTATTGTTGGGTGCTATTTCTCTGTTGGTTGGTACTTCCTCTTCCTAAATGATGAGAAGTGGCATCCAACCAGTCTCCTGTATGTGGACATAAATGGGCATGTGTTTGGTGGTTGTTAAGACTGTAGTTGATGGGGGTCTTTCTTTTATGGACAGACATTCTTGGAAGCTGATGTAAACCAGGATGGGAAGATAGACAAATCCGAATGGCGTGACTTTGTAAACAAAAACCCATCTTTGTTAAAGATCATGACGCTTCCTTATTTGAGGTATGTGGTGGAATATTTCAAATCTCCCTGCTACTGTTATGGTGATGACTAGAATATGTTTTTGTGCTGAAAATTAATTATGTGCAGGGATATAACAACAACATTTCCGAGTTTTGTTTTTAACTCGGAGGTGGATGAGATTGCAACATGAGAGAAAAGAAAGTTGGGAGTCAGCGGTATTAGTGCAAAGAATGAAGTAGTATGGAAGAAGATTTTTTATTTGAGGTTTAATATAGTCCAATTGTAGATTATGGTGAAGCAAGTATGCTCTCTTTTTTTTTTTTTTTTTTTTTTTTCGGTCATCTTTCTTTTTAATAGTGCTATAGAAAATATGCTCTTTTTTCCCCCTCTTATTCTTCTGGCACCAAAACAATTGGGCTCAAGAATTTCTCCGCTAGGTTATATAAGTAGGTATTTATAAGGTTTAATGTTAATTTTGTACATTTAAGAATGGTTTTTTTTTATTATTTATTTATTTAGTAGTATAGACTTAACATCGTTAAAATCATTATTAATAATTAAAATTACCAGCTCATAGGTGAAACCAAAGAAAACAAATGTGTATATAAAAATGAGTAATTCGAGTCGTAACGATAAGAAAGTAA